CATGGTCTACGGGGAAGAGATTTCTGCCAGCAGAAGGCTCTTTAATCTAGCAGACACAGGCATAACTAGCCCAAATTTTAACAATGGGGGTAATTAATCATAGGAGCAATTTACCAAGGGAGGCGTTGGATTTTCCCTCACCTCAGGTCTTTAAATCAAAACTGGATCCCTTTCTGAGAGATCTGCTCTGGCTCAGAAGTTACAGACTAGATGCAGAAATTACTGGGTGAAATTCTGTTTTATGCTATGCCAGAGGCCGTGGTGGATCATCATAATGGTCCCTGGCCCTCATTACAATAGAGCCTGAGCTTCTTACACGCAGGGACAGACTGTGTCCTCCGCCCCACTGGGAGGCAGGGAAGTAGATCACTAGAGAGGCTGCACAGCCTGAAAGGAAAAGGCCAGATACAGATTCCAAGTCAGGCTGTTGCTTCGGTTACAGATTTGGCAGATGATAAAGTGTATCGCTGCCTCCTGGGGGATGGGATAGGTCAGACCCGACCCCACATCTATGATCGAGCCAATCTCTGCAGTGTTGTTGTAGGCCTGTCTGTCCCAGGACATTACAGACAAGGTGGGGGATGGGATATCTTTTTGTTGGACCAACTTCTGCTGATGGAAGACACAAGCTTTTGAGCTACTTGTTAGGGGGCTTATTCCTTCACCCACTTACTTCCCTGGTCCTTCTTGCATGAACAGAGAGCAACAATACCCGAAGTCCAAAGGTCCAAACAATTCAATGTTTATTGGGTTGAACTTCCAGCAAACATGATTCCAGTTTCCTTCCTTGGTGTCCCCCTTCCCAGCTCTGACACCACAGAGCCTTACACCTGTGTCCCTGTTCCCATTCCTACCCTTAGCCAAACATGATTCCGATTTCCCCACCCCCATTCCCTGTTCCCATTTCCCACTCCCCCCTTACTTCCTGATTGACTATACAGTAAAACTTGAGTTCTGCTTAGCTATATCTTAACCAATCATTTTCCTGAAATTTCACTAACCAATCCTAACATATTGTAACATGGTTATGTAACCAATTATATCCCACCACCTTCATTAGTTTACACCCAGCAAAATTAATTATACAGCAGACAGAAACAATCACAGAACCAGACAGAGATTATACAGACAAACAATAGCAAAGTGGGAACTATAATGACAAAACAATACAGAAGTGAGGATTTCACTTCCCAGCTATTGATAAGTGAGTTCTTGCCAGACAGGATGCTATCAAACTAAGATTCCTTTTACATCTTCTAGGCACTTCCCTTTCTCTGGAGGCGATAGGCACTATCAGGACAGGATTGTATCCTAACAGCCCCATAGCACCTTCTTTCAATGTGACTAGTTTGCGATGTGAGGAGGTGACCGGTCGCCTTCCAGTTTATGGCTGCCTCTGTCGCTTAGCCAAAGGCCTTAGCCTAAGAACAGGGCCTCAGACGGTCACAGGGAGAGAAGGCCCTTACACCGGCAGACAGTGATTTTGATTCTTTCTTTTATACCTCTAGAACTAGCCAAGTGATAAGAATACACCTACATTCTTAGAGTCTAGGCCTTTAGAGACAGGCCTGAATATCTATATCCTAACCCTACTCAGACCAGATTAAGAGTTCTGTGTAACCTTGAAAGCTTGTCTCTCTCACCTACAGCGGATGGTTCAGTAAAAGATATTACCTCCTTCACCTTGCATCTCTGCTGTCCGCTCTCCGGCATTTCGCAAGAGCATCCAGTGTCTGATCCTTAGCGGTGCTGAGCTTTTGCAGCTCCCCCGGAATTAGGCGGGAACTCAGGGTCTCTGGAAATCAGGCTGCTCGTTGAGGAGCTGAAATATGAATGTCGGTGCCTAACTTTAGCCACTCAGCTTTGAACACTTTGGGCTCCGTGAGTTGTTCAAAGCCTCAGGGCGAGTCAGTGTCGAAGGCTCTCCCCCCTGAGTGCTGCTCCCCAGAGCTGGCACCCAGAAGGCAGTACTGCCCAGTCTCAAGATACCGCACATCTCTTCTAACGCCCCCGCCCCACAAGTCAAGTGCTAACTAACACACAAATCTCAGCTTTCATTTTTTCTCGAGTAGATTTGGTGGCAGAGGGAATAACCTGTGAAGCGAGAACCTGAATATGATTTGGGGAAGGGTCTCGTCTGACTCATGATTTTTGAACAGCTGTGGCTGGTGATGCTTAAGACCCAGCTCTGCATCCTCTGCTACCACAGCGGGGTTCAGTCTGAGGTTCTTTAATACCCCATCTTCAGTAACCACCACACACAAAGCAGTGGGACGGGGTCCACACTCAGTACCTCATAGGAAACAGACACCTAAGGGAACAGAGTGAACAACTCCAGATTCTGAGCATGGGACCGAGAGCCAGGAACTCCTGCTGTGCTTGGGCGAGTCACTGTGCATAGTGAGGCTGTTCAGAAAATGCCCCTCACCCTAGCATCTGGGCAGATAAGTGAGGAGGTGCAGAGTTATGTAAAACACCTTGAAAATAATGCTTTGCCCTTCTCCACCCAAGGCTGTCAGCCTAGAATACAAACACTGGTGAATTAAGCCTCACCAACCCATCGCCATGTGGGCCTAAGCCCCATTTTACAGATGGGGAAACTGAGGCACAACACAGTTAGTCGTCGTCTTCAAAAGTCTTTGGCTCCTGGAGATCCTCAGCAACCTCTGAAAATTAAGTCACACAAGTCTCCAATTGGCCTCCCCCTCCCTACCCCCAAATCTCAGGGAGCCAAAATTAGTGGGGAAGACTGGAAAAGGTGGCGTAACAGACCTGGTCATACAGCAAGGCTCTAGCAAAGATCAGAATAGAACCCAGGAGTCCAGGCTACCAGCCTCAACGCTCACCCCTAGACACCCCCCTCCCCTAGGGCAGAAACCAGGAGTCTGGGCTGTAACAGCCCTGCTCCCACCCAGCTAACCCCCGCCTCCCCTGCCAGAGCTAAGGGCAGAAGCCAGGAGTCAGACTCCGAGCCCCCCCCCGCTAACCCACAGACCACCCCCTCTTTCCTCCTGCCCCCTGCCCGGGACAGAACCCAGGAGTCCCGGCTCCCAGACCCCCCGCCGCTCTAATCCCTAAACCCCTCCCTTTCCTCCTCCCCCCCGCCAGGGACAGAACCCAGGAGTCCGGGATCCCAGACCCCCCCTCCCCCGCTCTAATCCCTAAACCCCTCCCTTTCCTCCTCCTCCTCCCCCCCGCCGGGGACAGAACCCAGGAGTCCGGGATCCCAGACCCGCCCCCCCCATCCCTAAACCCCTCCCTTTCCTCCTCCTCCCCCCCCCCCCGGAACCCAGGAGTCCGGGCTCCCAGACCCCCCCTCCCCCGCTCTAATCCCTAAACCCCTCCCTTTCCTCCTCCTCCTCCCCCCGCCGGGGACAGAACCCAGGAGTCCGGCCCCCGCGCTCTCCCCCGGCCAGCAGCGCCGGGCTGGGCGGAGGCAGCCGCCGCTTCTCTCCGGCACGGGGCCCTGCCTGGCCGAGCGCGGCCCGCCCCGGCCTCCTGCCCGGCGCCTTCCTGCCCGGCCGCCGCGAGCCCGGGGCCCGCCGAGCCCGGCTGCAGGTAACGCGCCCGCCCCGGGGCCCCGCAGCCAGTCCGGGGGGGGCACCCCGGCTCCGGGCTGCAGCGAGACGGGCCAGGGCCCCCCGCCAGCAGCTGGGCAGCGCCCCCCACGCCCCCCGCTGGGCAGCCCCCCCCGCCAGCAGCTGGGCCGCCCCCCCCACGCCCCCCCGCCGGGCAGCCCCACCCGCCAGCAGCTGGACAGCCCGCCCCCACGCCGGGCAGCCCCCCCACAGCAGCTGGGCAGCCCCCACCCGCCAGCAGCTGGGCAGCCCCCCCGCCCCCCGCTGGGCAGCCCCCACCCGCCAGCAGCTGTACAGCCCCCCACGCCGGGCCGCCCCCCCACGCCCCCCGCTGGGCCGCCCCCCCCACGCCGGGCAGCCCCCCCCCCCGCCAGCAGCTGGACAGCCCCCCTCACGCCCCCCGCCGGGCAGCCCCCGCTGGGCAGCCCCCCCCCCGCCAGCAGCTGGGCCGCCCCCCCCCCGCCCCCCCACCGGGCAGCCCCACCCGCCAGCAGCTGGACAGCCCCCCCCGGGAAACCCCGCCAGCAGCTGGACAGCCCCCCACAGCCGGGCCGCCCCCCCCACGCCCCCGCTGGGCCGCCCCCCCACGCCGGGCAGCCCCCCCCCCCGCCAGCAGCTGGGCGCTTTGCACCCAGGGAGGTGCTGCTCGCCCTGCCGCGGGGGGGCTTTGCCCTCGTGCCCGCAGGAGAGGGGAGTTGTGCAAGGCTGGGGAGCAGAGCCAGGGCTCGAGCTAATTCTTAGCACTTGTCTACGGGGGGGGAGAGTTTATTGGGCCTGCCGGGCTGGCATCGCTGCTCACGGGTGAAGGAACTAGGGGTGCTCCCGCACCCCCTGTTTTAAAGGGGTTTCCATCATCTGCAGGGTTTACAGTAACTGGCCGTCAGCACCCCCACCGTGCAAATTGTTGCAGCACCCCTGTGGGGAGCCCCGGCAGGGCCGCACTGGCGGGGGGAGCCCCGGCACCGCCCTGCTGGTATTGCTAGGCTGTGCTGTATGTCGCGAGGTTGGTGTAACTCCCCCTGCGGACACCTGCCCCCCAGGAAGAATGGCTCTTTCTGATTTACGGGGTGTAGCTGTAGCCCTGTGGGTCTCAGGCTATGGGAGAGCCCAGGGGGTGAGGTGAGATCTGCTAGACCGGTGGTCTCCAAAGCGGGGTGCGCGCACAACCATCCCGGGGGTGCGCGGCAGGAGGAGCACCGCCATCACGGTGGCAGCAGCGCTCCTGGACCTTTGATTCGTCGGCAGCGGCTCGGCTCTCCCCCGGCTCGGCTCTCCCCCGGCTCGGCTCTCCCTGCTCCGTCTTTGGCAGCAGCTCGGCTCTCCCCCGGCTCGGCTCTCCCTGCTCCGTCTTTGGCAGCAGCTCGGCTCTCCCCCGGCTCGGCTCTCCCTGCTCCGTCTTTGGCAGCAGCTCGGCTCTCCCCGGCTCGGCTCTCCCTGCTCCGTCTTTGGCAGCAGCTCGGCTCTCCCCCGGCTCGGCTCTCCCTGCTCCGTCTTTGGCAGCAGCTCGGCTCTCCCCCGGCTCGGCTCTCCCTGCTCCGTCTTTGGCAGCAGCTCGGCTCTCCCCCGGCTCGGCTCTCCCCGCTCCGTCTTCGGCACTAGGCCGGTGGCAGCTCGGCTCTCCCCCGGCTCGGCTCTCCCCGCTTCGGCGCCAGGCCGGCGGCGGCTCGGCTCTCCCCCGGCTCAGCTCTCCCCCAGCTTAGCTCTCCCTGCTCCGTCTTCGGCGCCAGGCCGGCGGCAGCTCGGCTTTCCCCGCTCCATCTTTGGCGGCACGCCAGGGGCCGCTCTTTTTTTTTTTGCTTCCCTAGAGCTGGCCTTGGGGGTGTGCAATCCAAAAAGTTTGGAGACCCCTGTGCTAGACAAAAAGTCATGTCCTGAACATAGACACTGGATTTATGGCATATTACAACGATCTGTAACCCCCTCTTTTTGTCCTGTGACTGCTTGAATGGGCCTTCAACTTGAGTGGGCCCTTACAAGAACGTAAGAACGGCCATACTGGGTGAGACAAAAGGTCCATCCAGGCCAGTATCCTGTCTACCAACAGTGGCCAGTGCCAGGTGCCCCAGAGGGAGTGAACCTAACAGGTAATGATCAATGATTCCATCCTTCCCACCTTGCTAGGATGCTGCCAGCCCTGTGGATCCAGAGTTTGTCTCTGACCCCAATGGAAGTTGGTCCAATAATTACCTCCCCCACCTTGTTTGTCTGATTTAGCTTCTGTCCCTTCAAAGTGCCGGAAGCTAACAGGTGGAAGCCATCTTATTCTGGGGTAAGAATGTCCATGCGGGGACTTATCCCTGCAAAATGATGCCAGGAAACTTCCCCATGTAGACTAGTTCTTAGCCTCCTGGGCTACCCACTGGGCAGGAAAGCATAGAGCAGCTTTATCCCTAGGACACATTTCAGAGAAGAACGCACCCCCCCACACACACCGGGCCTAGCACCGTGAAAACAGTGCCGTCTGGTCCAGCACTTCGCTCCCTTCTCTGAAAGGTGTGAGGGCGCATGATTGCAGGTGGGGTGGACAAGGGGGCGTGTGGGCTTGTGTGAGACATATCCTGGCCGTGTTCATACAGACAACAGGGCTCAAAATGGAGGGCATCGCAAACAGGGAAACAAAAGCTCTCATTAGGCCTTTGACAGGGTCCAAATAAAAGCCCTCCCACTTTCTGGGCCCCAAGTAGGGGGGTCAGGCCTGGTCTCCCCACACACCCGGCCAGCTGCCCCTTTCGTATTTCTCCTTTTTATGCCTGAAGATTACCAAGCCCCCCATTGAACTGGCTCCCCAGCCTGGTAACCGTTCCTGGTCTGATTTCCAGCCCCCCGACCTAGGGGGAGCAATGGGCCTTGAGCTACAAGGGGCTAAGACCAAATCAGCTGCCAAGAGATTTCTGTGGGACCAAGCTGATCCGCTCGTCTGACCCCCTGGGCAGCACAGGCCAGCGAACCCCCGCAAAGTAATTCCCAGAGCTGATTGATTGATTTTTTTTTAGAAAAACAGTTACTGGGGCGCAGGGGTCGGTTGCTAGCCGAAAGCATGATCACACATGTGATTGTGTGTGTGTGTGTGTGTGTTGCTTGGATCCAGGCCTCTCCTGCCCGTGCAGGGATCGTTTGGAGTGCACGGTGCTGAGCTCATCACATGATTTGTCTTTCAGGTGCACGCCTTGCTCCCTGGCGTCCCCACTGCTTGCCCCTCCAGGGAGGAGCTGGGAGAATGGCCGGTGCAGTCTGGGGTCGTGCCTAAGGGTGAGTTCAGGGAGGCTGATTTCTGCCGGGTGAGGGTCCCATTTGGCTCTTTCAGTGGGCTCTGGATAGTCTGTGCAAGGCCCAGGCTGGCTTCAGCGCTCGGGAGTCCCCAAATGGTCCAGACTCCTAGTGGATTCATGGCCTTACAAAGAGAATGACAAGACCACTCACCTTCCTCATGGCGTGCTGGCTGGCTGTGGAGTCACGGCCCCTGGCTGCTGGGCCGCCTGCTGGATAGTGACTGGTCAGTGGGGTGTATGGAAAGAACTGGCAGGTCCCAGCCCAGGTCCTAGAGGCCCAGCATCTACATGACAACTCCCAGAGAGTAGCCCCTACAGTTAGCTCTAACTACCCGCCTCATGGCAGCCTGAGAGGAGACACAGACTGGCCCTTGCACCAGGGACCCCCACTTGCCCCATTTCCTCTGCTCCCGCTGCCCTTGCCAAGCAGATGTCGCAGCAGTTGGAAACATGCATGGTTCTGCCGAGACGGGCGAAACCTTACGTTATAACGCGGCGCATCCCTCTGCCGTGCTCGGGCTTTGTGCCGCTTCTAATCCCTGCCTCTTTCCCCAGGGTGAAAGGGGACGGGTTGAGCAGGACTCATGGATTCTCAGGACATGGAAGGGGAGGAAACTCCAGCCAGCGTCTGCTCCGGTGAGCAACGGGAATTCAGACTGGAATGGAAATTAAGTTGGTTTGGCTTGATTTGTTCTTGACAAATGGATGCCGACTGTTCCTTATAACCCTCCAGGTGCTTACAAATTGATTGTTTAATCATTTGCTTCAGTATCTTTCCAGGTACTAAAATTAGACTGACTGGTCTAAAATTCCTGTGACCTCTTGTTCCCCTTTTTAAAGATAGGTACTGTTGGCCCTTCTCCAGTCTTCTCAGACCTCTTCTGCCCTCCATGGGTTCTCAAAGATCATTGCGGACTGCTTCAGCTAGTTCCCCAAGTGCTCTAGAATGAATTTCAGCAGGCCCTGCTGACCGAATACATCCAACTTATCTAAATAATCTTTAACCTGCATTTTGAGAGTATGGAACTGCCAGCCTTTGAGAATTCAGGGAAAAGATGGATGTGATGGCAAAACTTTTTCTGCTCTCCCTTGTTCAGGGTATCCTGCTCCCCGACTGGACATCTCAATAAAGGTTGAAAGGGAGGATGAACCCCAGTTCCCAGATGCCCTGGACTTCACTGCGGGAGTGGTCCCCCAGGGTGAGTGATCCCATTGTAAAGGGACTGGCCGCTTGCTGGAAAACATCCCTCGCTTGACGCATTGCACTGTTCATTAATCATCACCTGCAAACACTTACTGCTGCTTGGCAGAGGCAGCAACATTTTTGAAAATTTTCCTGGATGTTTTTGCGTTGAAATATTCCGACCGCTCTGTAAAACGGGTCAAAACACAATTTGCTGGCGGAGCAGGGGGAAATCCTCAAATATTTGCAAAACATTTTTCATCTAAAAATGTCAACCAGCTCTTCATACAGTCCAGACCAAACAGAGGACAAACCTGGACCAGTTGTTCCTTGGAATGGCTGGAACTGTTCTGACTGTGAAAATGCTCGGAGAAATGGGTGAAAGTGAATTGCGTTGAAAGAATTTCATGGAGCACCAACCCGGTTTCCTTCTAGCTTCTGAACTCTTCTCTCCCAAAGAGGATGTTTGGGGGTGGAAGGGGGTTGCTTTTTAGGATGCACTCCAAGAAGTAGAAGAGTCTCAAAAAACTTGGATGTAATTTTAGGAGGAAGAGGTAGTCCAACTCTGGTCCCTTCCCCAACCCCAAACTTTTAGCCCCCAGCTCTGTCCCTCCCCCACTACAATAGAACCCCTATTTTATGAACATTGATCTTATGAATGGCTGGTTATATGATCCATTTTTCTGCCGCCAACTGTGACTTCAGTCCTTCGGCCAGCGTTCCAACAGCTGGACAGCTTTGGAAAAAAAACAAGTTTTGGAGGCAAAGGAGAAGTGCACGTCTCTCAGACAAAGAAAAAACAGGTGCACTGTACACAGTTACCGTTTGTTATGTACACTGTCATTGAATGATTAATCAATTAAGTTATGCCCCAGACCCCTGTAACTGAGGTGTTCAATGATTAACTCCTCAATCGCCAATTGGTTCATCAGATTGGGGTTCTGCTGTATTTGGCTGGGCGGGCAGGAGTCCGCTGTGTTGGCAGCATCCAGCTGCTTGGGGTTGCTCTGTCCTCCTGCTGGACAAGCACATGGCTGCGGCCTGAAGCTGCTGCTCCCTCCCGGGGGCTACAGCTCCGAAATCCCAGACCCCTGTTGCTGACTTGCCCAGGGAGCATCCTGAAGGCGGGTCTCTGCTGCTCTTCAGTCAGAGATCCCCGGAACCTGCTCCTGGTCCCCACCTCAGGCCTGTTATGGAGGGAGGCAGCAACTTCTGGGCGAATCTGAGCAGATGCATGTACCCCCTTTCTCTGCTTGAGCCCCCAGCAGCCCAGAGACTAGTCTGAACGCCCCAACCCACCCAGGAGCTGGAACCGGACCTCAAAAGCTACTTTCCGGGCCTCAGGCCCCACTCCCAAGCATGCTAGGTCTCTCGGGATGCCCTGCCACCGGGGGTGATGCCAGGGGAGGTCAGTGGTGGCTCACTGGGCAGGGCACCAGGCCCCATGTGCTCAGCCAGGTACCTGGGGCTTCAGACAGGGCGTGTGTGATAAGCGTCCCTCTAACCCCTTGTATGTTAATGGAGCTGCCGCCCCGAGCTCCCTCTAGCCTGGAATCTGGAGCTGGCCTGCAGCTCGAGCTGCGTGCCCTCCGGAGCGCTGGCTGGCGCAGTCTGGGCTCCGGGCTGGGGGCTGTTAACCCACGAGCTGCTGGGTCAGCCCAGCCCTGCAGGCTGATGGTCGGTATGGATATCCTGGCTTAAGCCTGGCTGTCCCACTTGTTGGTGAGCCCATGGGAGGCAGGGGGAAATTTTCACAGTGATGATTCTCTCTCTTCTGCTTGCAGGGTATCCTGGCGCCAAACGTGACTTGGTAAAGACGGAAAGAAGTGAGCACATGGATGTCCTGGACTCTGCAAAGAGACAAAGTACCTGCAAGAACTCCACAGGTGAGGGAATAGTGTCCCATTTCCTGGGAGATGCCCATAGTGCATCACAAGCCCTGCAAACGTAGATCACTCGCCCATTGCCTGAAATGCAACCGCTTCTGGGGTGGAACGCAGCCGCCAGTGTGTAACAGTGATACTACACAGCTCTGCCTAGGAGGGCAGGAACATAGGACTGGAAGAGACCTCCTGGGTCATGGAATCCAGCCCCTGTCATCACAGGCAGCCCCTCCATATCATCCCATTCACACAGCTCCACTTGGAAGCTCGTTTAGCTGTTTGCCCAGGTGGCCCATTCTGTCCCTGCGGTTCTGACTACACAAGTCAGGAAGCAAGATCATGTTGGGGCCCACACAAAGCCTAGTCATCCCTTAACCGGGAGATAAGTGGTGCACATAGACCCTGTGGGCCCCTCACACAGAGCTATTCTCATCCATCGGGAATACGTCGTCTCCCTTTTTATTTATTCACTCTGTCACGTCTTAGTCATAGGTGTCAATCATGGATTTTCCCTCACTCCCAATAGCCTGCCAGTGGGTGCCCCTCCTTTTGACTCTCCTGTCTCCTCTGGCATATAATTCTTCAGAAGTCTGGGTCAGATTCTACCCTGATTTACTCCTTTGCCACCCAGCTGAAGTTAATAGGATGTAAGTCAGACCTCTTGGGCCGAATCCATCACTGGTGTAAGTCCATTGACTTCAGTGGGGTTACTGCAGAGACCAGCCTGGTCAGGCCCGGAAGTTTATTGGGTATCTTTCGGATAGTTGCCCAGATTGGTTAGACAAAATAAATCCAATGAATTGAGGTTTTGCTACGAGGAAGGCGGCATAGTCGAGCGGACAGGGTGCTGGTCTGGGGGCAGGAGCCCTGCTTTATTGTCAGAACACCGTATTGTGGGATCATCCTGTGACTTCCCGTTTCTGTTTGATTTTGAAAAAAAATCACTCCAAGGGAATTCAGTCAATTCAAACTCGGCTTTCTCTGTTCATCTCTGATCTGCACCAAATTCCAGGGGAGGGCTCAGCTGTGTATTTCATTTGTTGTGTGTGATTTAAAAAAATAAATCGAACCCTGAGGCGCAATTCTAGTCTATGAAAACAACTGGATTTTTTTTCTGCCTTTGCCTCAATCCTTTTCTGCTGAAATCTCACTTTGCATTTTCTCCTCCAGAGCGGTGAAGAGCAAACAGGATTATTATTTTTTTTTGCTTGCTCACACAGTATTGTAAATTCCTTTGCCTAAGTACTAACATGGCACCAATTGCCCTGCTGTCTGAGCATCTCACAGGCTTTAATGCAGCTATCCTGGGCAGCCAAAGCACAGAAAGTCTTTGTGGGAGATTTGGAAAGACACAAATGGCAGTTAGATGCAGTGGCAGGGAATTGAACCTGCAGTTTCTGAGTCCTAGGGAAGCAACCTAACTGCTGGACCATCCTTCCCTCTAGCATGAAACAGGCAAACAAGAGTCCCATTCAATTACATCACATGGAGGCAGACGACTAAATCCCCAGGGATCTGTACGAGGCCCAGTCCTATTCAACATGTTCAGAAATGATCTGGAAAAAGGGGAAAACAGGGAGGGGGCAAAATTTGCAGATGATACAAAATTATTCAGGATAGTTAAATCCAAAGCAGACTGGGAAGAGTTCCAAGAGGATCTCACAAAACTGGGTGACTGGGCAACACAATGGCAGGTGACGTTTAATGTAAATAAATGCAAAGTGATGCACCTGGGAAAATATAATCCTAACTATACAGACGAACTGATGGTGTCCAAATTAGCTGTTATCACTCAAAAAAGAGATCTTGGAGTCGTTGTGGAGAGTTCTTTGAAATCAATGTGCAGCAGCCGTCACGCAAGCTAACAGAATGTTAGGAACCGTTAAGAAAAGAATCGGTAAGACAGAAGATATGATAATATCGCAATATAAATCCATAGCACTCCCACACCGTGAATACTGTGTATAGTTCTGGTTGCCCCGTCTCAAAAAAGATGTACTGGAATTGGAAAAAGGACAGAGAAGGGTGACAGAAATGATGAGGGCATGGAACAGCTTCCGTATGAGGAACAGTTCAGCTTAGAAAAGTGATGACTAAGCAGGAATATGATTGAGGCCTATAAAATCATGAGTGCTGTGGAGAAAGTGAACAAGGGAGGATTATTTGTCTCTTCACATCGCAGAACCACCACGGGTCACCCAATGAAATTAACAGGCAGCAGGTTTAAAATAAACACGAGGAAGTAGTTCTTCACCCCACGCACACTCAACCTGTGGAACTCTGTGCCAGGGGATGTTGTGAAGGCCAAAAGGATAACTGGGTTCAAAAAAGGATTACATAAGTTCACGGAGGACACCTCCATCAATGTCTATTAGCTAAATAGTCAGGACACAACCCCATGCTCTGGGTGTCCCTAAAGCTCTGACTGCCAGAAGCTGGGACTGGATGGCAGGGGATGGATCACTCCATAATTTCCCAGTTCTGTTCATTCCCTCAGAAGCACCTGGCACTAGCCCCTGTCGGAAGACAGGATACTGGGCTAGATGGTCCATTGCTCTGACCCAGGGTAGCAGTTCTCATGTTCTTGTGACTAGAAGGATTCTGCATTCTTGTTTGCCCCGGGGGACCTTACTGATTTCAGTGGAGCTGCACAGATGCAAGTCGGGGTAGCAGCCGGGCCCACAAGTGGCACTTCGCTAGCATCCCTGTTGAAGATGCCCAAACCAGAAGAGAATCCCACTCTTCCCTCCGGCAGAGGGCCTGATTCTGACACCACTGTAGCTCCGTTAGCTTTCCTGGAGTTATTCCTGGTGCCAAGTGAGAATCGGCCCTGAACTGCCATGACCTTGCACTGTGCATGGTCACGCACACCTGTGCAAACTCACTCCGAATGGCAGCCGCTCCCATACCCTCTGCGGAGATGCCCTGGCTAGACAAGGGGCACGGCGGGGAGAACTGAGACCCGAGTCTCTGCACCACATAACGGGGGAAAGCGGTAAAAACGCACCCAAGCAGAGCAGTGTGAGGAGCTGTCTGTGTACACAGACCCTCTGGTAACTGCACTCTAGGGGGAAGTGGCATGGCCCTGGTGCTGTTCCCTGCCTTAGCAGCCTCTAACAATGTCTCTGGCTTCTCTTTCCCCTGCCCTGCACAGGTGACTGGCCTGCGAAAGCCGTTAAGGAAGAAGGGCCAGGAAAGGACCATACTGAGGAGCTGGAGGCCCCCTGCGTGCTGGCAGGGAAGCCCTATGAGAGCCCTCTGGCCCCTGGCCGCCAGCCAGGGAGTGGGCAGGACGCTCCTGCGGAGTGGACCAGGGCCCTTGGGAAGCGCAGCACCAGGGCCTCCCAGCCGAGGAGCCCCGTGGGGGAGCTGGCGTTGGCCTGCAGCGACTGCGGGTGGCGGTTTGGAGACGTGGCGTCCCTGGGCGAGCACGAGCAAAGCCACGCGGCGGAGCGCACCTTCATCTGCACCGACTGCGGCAAGAGCTTTGGGCGGCACGCCACCCTGGTGGAGCACCAGCTCGGCCACGCGGCGGAGAGCGTCTTCGTCTGCTCCGACTGCGGCAAGAGCTTCACCCACAAGGCGGCGCTCACCGTGCACCAGCGCACCCACGTCCGCCGGCGCCCCTCCCGCTGCGCCCGGTGCGACGGCGCCTTCGGCTCCCACGCCGAGCTGGTGACCCACCAGCAGGCCCCCGCCGGGCCGGCCGCGGCCCTGCGGGCCCCGGAGGCGGAGAAGCCCTTCCCCTGCATCGACTGCGGCGACAGCTTCCGCTCGCACCCCGCCCTGCTGAGCCACCAGCGCATCCACGCCGAGGAGCGGCCCTACAAGTGCACCAAGTGCGGCAAGAGCTTCGGCTTCCACGCCGAGCTGGCGTCGCACCTGCTGTGCCACCCCGAGGAGCGCTGGTTCCCGTGCGGCAGCTGCGAGCGGCGCTTCAGCTCCAAGACCGACCTGATCCTGCACGAGCGCACCCACCCCGAGTCCACGTGGTGCCTGTGCACAGACTGCGGCAAGGTCTTCGCCGGCCGGGCCGACCTCGGCCGGCACCAGGCCAGCCACGCTGCCAGCGTGCACGCCTGCCCCGAGTGCGGCAAGGCCTTCGGCTCCCGCACCGACCTCATCGCGCACCAGCGCTCGCACGCCGAGCGGCTCGTCTCCTGCAACAAGTGCGGCAAGGCCTTCGGCTCCCGCGCCGAGCTCCTGGTTCACCAGCGCGGGCACGGCGAGAGCCGCTCCTTCACCTGCACCCAGTGCGGCAAGGCCTTCGGCTCCCGCACCGACCTCATCGCGCACCAGCGCTCGCACGCCGAGCGGCTCGTCTACTGCAACAAGTGCGGCAAGAGCTTCGGCTCCCGCGCCGAGCTCCTGGTTCACCAGCGCGGGCACGGCGAGAGCCGCTCCTTCACCTGCACCCAGTGCGGCAAGGCCTTCGGCTCCCGCACCGACCTCATCATGCACCAGCGCACCCACCGCGACCGCCAGTCCTACTCGTGCGCCGAGTGCGGCCGCGTCTACAGCAACCAGTCCTACCTGGTGGCCCACCGCCGCGTCCACACCGGGGAGAAGCCGTACACGTGTGCCGAGTGCGGGCGCAGCTTCAGCCACAAGTACCACCTGGGCAGGCACCAGCGGACACACGCAGGGGGCACCCCGCCCGTGTACTGAGCCCCAGGGCCCTTGCCACCTGCACCGGGGGGGCGCGGGGAGGAGGAGGGAAGGGCAGTTGCGCAGCATTTCAAGAGAGGCTGGTCTCAAATCCACAAGAACGCTCGTTGCACCAGTGAAACGCCTGTGACACAGGGCTGGGTGGCACTAAGGGGGAGAGGCTTCTCGGACATGCCACTGCTGACCACCCCCACGCCTCTCCCCCTGCAAGAACCCCAGTGTCACCTGAAATGTCCTTGCAGGGAGGGAAATCTCACCCCGGAATGACACCTGCTTCCTGACAGGTTATCACGAGCACGACAGAATCGGAGTAAGAGCTAGAGAGAACTGGACATGCTACAAAGCCATAGGAAATTTGGGCAAACGCTGTTAAACTACGTGTGGTGGGGGTCAAGGGGCAAAAACTGACGGAGCTGGTTCTTGTTACCCTTCAGCAGCGAGATTTCTCTCCTGTGTCCCCTTTTCGCCTTCCCCTCTTTCCCCTGCCAATGAGGAATTAAACGAACATAAGAAAAGCCACCGCCATCACTAGTCTCACTAAATTCATGCACATGCTACGTGAAGGGGCTAACTAATCCCATATCCAGAACTGTGAGACTATGCTAGGGTGAGGTCCTTTAGCTTGGCGGATCAGTTCTGCAAAACTGCTGCAAAGTCATCCCCTGCCCTAGCGTTTAGGGGACCAAAACAAGTACAAATGGCACTGAGCCAGCTGGTTTGAGCCCTTCGCACCCTGAAGGAACGAGCAGCCAAGTTAGCTACGGACAATGGGCTGTATCCTCAACTGTTGTTAATGGTACCGCTTGGCTGAAGCCAAGAGAGCTGGGCCAGTAGCCAAGTGTCTGGCCCAAAGTTAAGGGGGATGTGATATATTCCAGTGTCTAAGGGAAAGCCTTCACAACAATATGCGGGTGCTGTCATAGAATCATAGAATATCAGGGTTGGAAGAGACCTCAGGAGGTCATCTAGTCCAACCCCCTGCTCAAAGCAGGACCAACTCCACCTAAATCATCCCAGCCAGGGCTTTGTCAAGCCAGGCCTTAAAAACCTCAAAGGAAGGAGATTCCACCACCGCCCTAGGGAACCCATTCCAGTGCTTCACCACCCTCCTCGTGAAAAAGTTTTCCTAATATCCAACCTAAACCTCCCCCACTGCAACTTGAGACCATTGCTCCTCTTTCTGTCATCTGCTACCACTGAGAACAGTGGAGCTCCAGCCTCTTTGGAGCCCCTCCTCAGGTAGTTGAAAGCAGCTATCAAATCCTCCCTCGCTCTTCTCTTCTGCAGACTAAACAATCCCAGTTCCCTCAGCCTCTCCGCGTAAGTCATGTGCCCCAGCCCCCTGATCATTTTTGTTGCCCTCTGCTGGACTCTCTCCAATTTGTCCACATCCTTTCTGTAGTAAGAGCCCCAGAACTGGATGCAATACTCCAGGTTTGGCCCCACCAGTGCCGAATGGAGGGGAATGATCACGTCCCTCAGTTTGCTGGCAATGCTCCTACTAATGCAGCCCGATATGCCGTTAGCCACCTTCTTTAAGGCCTCCCCCCGTTGTCTCAGCTGGGGCCTGTTTCAAATCCATGTCTGTGTCCTGGTTTCCGCACCACTGAGCCTGCCTGGAGGGGAGAGGAGAGGTGCCCCCTCCTTCCACAAGGCTGGGGGTAGCACGCAGGCTCTGGCCCTGGGGTGTTCCCTGTACGATAAATGCACGTGTCCAGGCAAGTGTGCAAAGCAGTGAAACCCGCCTCTAGGAACCAGCCAATGAAAGCAAAGCAAGAGCATCCCAGGAAGCCGGTCACCAGCCCATGGCATGGAGGCGATGCAGCTGCCCTCATCTCTGACACACGTTTGATCCCTGGAGACAAGCAAGCCCAGCAGGCCCTTCTCTAGCTTGATGTGCGTACGAAGGCTAAATAGAGTGTTGCATGCTGGGACCTCTCTCCATGGGCTGAACCCTTCCATAGGCATGATGAGGCTGGCTGAGGGCTGCACTGTAGAACTCTGCAGCTGGCTACTTGGCCGTGTTTTGGCCACCCCTTTCCACTGAAATCCAGTCGGCTGAACTGGGTGGAAATATGCCTAAATTTAGCACATTGGGAAGGAACCATAATGATGCTTGATAAGAGGTGAGAGTGCTTCAGAGTTGCCACTTCCATGTAGGAGAGGGCCTGTCTGCAATGTGGGTAGACTCTCTCTCTCTCCATGTGTCCTATGATATAGGCCTGGCTGTTCGTTTAATTCAAAGCATTAGAACATCACAGGCGACCAGTTCAATGAAGCTCAGAGTTCCCATCCTCTCCACGCTGTTGGATTTCCTTTGTTCACCTCAGTCTGCCAAGAGCTGGTATTTTCACTAGCTCCGGGCTGATGTGCACACTTTAAACCACATATTTCGGGGGGAAATTGCTCTGTAAATATGTGATCCTAGCGGAGAATTCCAGCTCTCCTCGGTCATTTCTGTGTCTGAAGCACTTTGGATTCTCTGTGGCGCCCAACAGACGTGGCACTTGCTCTTGCTTCGTTTCTAAATTTACTTCCTGTTCCAGGGGCTCCTCCTGCCTTAGCTCAGAGACCAGGTCAGCGCACTAGTTGTTCCTTGGTGGTGTGGAGCTTCCTTTGGAGGGTTTGGCCCTGGTAGGCAGAGGATGAAGACGGTTGAGAGGGGTTGCGTATTTATTCACAAGCATTTTAAAGAAACAAAATCTAAACTGTCGTAGTTCAATAGTACATAGAAGTTCCATGTCCAGTACGTCCGGTAAGAATGATCTGTGTTCGTGTGCGTGAACGTATCACCTGGGGAGCATTGGGTCAAAATCCACTGCTTTGTGATTGTAGAGGGAATTCCCCAGAAAGCAGAACTTGGTGCCCAGTGACCCGGTTCAAAGCCACTCCTTGGTGTTCAAACTTCCACGCTCTGTTTCAACCCCATAGATCAGCTGGGGGGGGGGAAGGAATCACAAAAGGCTTTGGTTCCTACCTGTGTGTTTCTCTCCCTTAAGACTTTTAATAAAGTTAGTTGGTTTAATCCCACGTTGTTCTTGTTGGTGTGCTCCGAGGCTCCAGCAGGCTGGCGGAGCTGCAGGGCCCAAATCCTCCTTCATGGGCCGCGTGTTTGAGCATTGCAATCGTCGCGAGCTCTCCGGGGCCGGCCGCGCTAGGTGTTGTACAGAGCGCTGCCCTCGTTGGGGAACTCACAGCTCCCCCACGGTTTGCAGGTCCCTTCGTGCCAGTGAATGGTGGTGAGCTGGCAGCCTGCGAGAGGAGTGGAGGATTTCTCTGCGGAACCAGGGCAGTGGTGCTGCAAGATTTCTCTGCGCCTGGCCCCTTGTTCCCTAAGCTGCAGGGGCCCCCGGGGTTCAGAGGCTGACGGCCAGCGGTGACGGGCTCAGGGCAGCGCCCGAGCGTCGTCTGCTGCTCTCGCGGCGGGGGCCTTTCAGACGGGGGAAGGGGAATGGAGGCTCTGGGAGTCGCCCCTCATTTACCCCTTCTCCCCCCCGCCCCCAAGCTCCATTGACAGGGACTGGGCCGCACTCTGTGGAGCTGAATGTCCTGCTTCTCCGTGCGTGGGAGATTCGCGCAGTCATCGTGGCAGATGCTGAACTGCGGAGTTGCCTCCTTCAGACCCCAGCTGCCCTGGCCTCACCTCACACAAGCTTCCTGCATTGGGCTGGGGCAGTATTTCTAACGCAGGCCAGTTCTGTGTTTGTACAGTGCCTAGCACAGTGGGGTTGGGATCCCTGGGAGGGGGCAGCATGGCTGAGATGTGTGGGCTCCCTGTGTCTGCCCAGAGGGTAGAAGGGGGAGGGGGCTTGTTTCGCTGAGCTGGGGGCATGGTGTGGGGCGCAGAGATTCCTGTGTGTCCCCAGGGTAGATGGCTGGGGTGTTTGGCTGAGCCAGGGCTCCCTGTGTCTGCCCTGCAAGTAGATGTGGGGGCTTGGGTCCAGCTGTGTCTGGGGGTGTATCTGGGGGGACAGGACATCCTATGTCTGCAAGATAGGTGCAGGGGGCACACCTTGGTTGGCCCCCATGGAGGTGGGGAAGAGGCCAGAGGAGGTGGCTAGGAGTAGTATGTCCCCCAGGGTAGGTGGGGGATGTCGTGTCTGCCCCTCAGGGTAGATTGGCTCTGAGACCAACACACTCCTGGGCTTCCTGCCTGCCCCCCAGTGACCTAGAGGCAGGGGCTCGAGCAACCTCGGCAGGCACCAGTGAGCTTGGGGGATGCTGGAGCCTGGTGCATGGGAGTCGCCGAGCTCGGCGCAAGGGTGGGCTAGGAGACCCTCTGTGCAGTGCCCAGCAGAGCGCGACAGCCACAGGCCGGAGCCGGGGGTGGCTTGGCAGGCAGGCCCAGCCCTGGCGCTACGGCAGGTTTCTGGAAGCACGGCACGCTGCCGGGCCTGCCAGCCCCCCGTGCAGGGACGGGTCCTGGGCCGCACCGAGCGCAGGGCTGGAGCATAACAACGAGCTACGGTGCCGCAGCAGGAAAGGGCTCGCCCCCTCGTGTGAGGTCCTGGCACAACGCTGGCACGAGAGGCGATTCGGCCCGAAGGCCCTGCCCTGAGATGCTGCAAACCAAGTTCTACCTAGTTCTCAAAATGTTTCCCCCCACCCCGAGCCAGAGCGGGTTCGTAGATGAAGAGATGGCACATGCCAGCGATCCCCAAACTTTTCAGACATGCTCCTCCTTACCCCTGTCCGTGCCCCTCCAGGAGCCAGGCCAGGGGTGGGGCCGTGGCTTGGAGGGGGGTCACGGACAGGGGTAAGGGTGCTGAGGCTGGACACAGAGTCACAGCCACCCCCACCCCCCAGACATTCCTCTGTGCTCCCGTGGGAAGGATTGTGCCACACAATTTGGGGACCACTGGCATGTGGCAATGTAACAATTGGAGGCCATGGCTAGCAGCACCGTCGACTCCATGAAGGAGTGAATGAAAAACATCTGGACCAAGCAGGCACAGAAATGAATTTCCCCAGCTCTGAACCACAATACACACAGCATTTTGGGCAAGGTGGAGCTGGACAGAACTAGACCAATCACAGCCAGCATGCGCAGGAAAATATCCAGAGGCTTGGCTCTGTCTGTGTAGCAATTCGGATGGTGCAGTGCTCCCAGAGAGTCACAATGTACATTGAGGATAGAGGGATGGGGAGCCAGGAACGTGCAGCTTCCAGGCCTGGGCCACCCAGCAGGATGAATGAGGAGGGGCTGACGTGACTGCTGTTAAATTCTGACATGGTTCATGGTCAGCAGCAGACAGGACTTCAGGAACTACCATCAGCAGCCAGGTTAGGCCAGAAAAACAAAGCGGATGCATCGAAGCTGCCTGGAAACCAAACTTGGATTGCTACAGAGCCTGGGTGCAGAAGGGCCCAAGATGCTTATCCTTGCTCAGCACTGTCAAAACTATGTTATCAAAAATTACAAGTCAGCTGGCCCCTAAATCGCGAGATTTTAAAAAGGAATCCATTTGGAGCTCCGTCTCCTGGCTTTTGTACCTTTTAAGGGTCATGTTGGAAGCTCATCTCTGTAATTATAAGGGCCCCTTTTTTAAAAAATGAAAGCTGAGACTCTGGTGTATTCAGCTGGCTTCAGGGGCTGGGGCTTTAAGATAAACACTTCAAATCATACGATGTCACTCACCACTGGGATGCGGCTAACTCTGGTGCAGGACAGCTAGATGATGGGGCCAGACATCAAGGAGATGTGATGAGAGACAAGTGGGGACTCTGAAGGCCAGGGAGGAGATGTTTACATGTGGCGGTGTGGAGAAAGGGGAGCCGGTAAAGATGCTCAAAGGTAAAGGATGGGGTCAGATTGACTGGACAGGAAGATAATTTGTGGCCACCTTTTGGATGGATTTTGCGTGGGTATTGAAGAGGCATTGTCCTTACCAATGCTGCGATATTAATGGCCACACGATGGTTCAGCACCCTCGTGAGAGGGCTCATTCCAAAACTAGCTCGACGGCATTACACTTTGTACAGGGGGGATTCAAAAAACAACCACGCTGGTCAACTCTGCTTTGAACTTGAGGTGAAACTAATGGAATTACATCTGTTTATATGAGTGGTAAGTGGCTCAACATTTACTCTGTGCTTTATCATTGGTTGTGCTGAATGAAGAGGCAAACAGTGCTATTAACACACCACGAATCCCCTGAAACTGCCCTGCTGTCTGTGGCTGAAATTGCATCCTTGCATAAATACCAGTCGCTCTAGGTTCTGTTGGTTTGAAGATTAACTCTACACGTAAAATCAGGAAATGACTAATATCCACTGAGGTATGTACTGTTAATTTATTTTTCAATTTACAAAAGCAATTTAGTAGGGGCAGCAGAGGGGCTGTAACCCTCCACACAAGCCGCCCCAAAGCGGACAGCGGACCATCTCCTCCCCTGCCTGGAATCCTCCAACTCACTGGGCCCCACTGTATATGCTGAGGTGACTTCAAGACGCTGCTTTATGGCTTACACATAAAAAGCACTGCTCAGCAAACCAGCTTCTGGTGGAAACACCAGAGGGAAGGTGTTCTCCTGGCTGCGCCAATAAACTCATTTCAATCCAAGCATGCTGTGACATCACCAAACCAGATGCCAGCTCACGCCAAGGCCCCTAGGCCTCACTGAGCACTGGCAAACACATAGCTGGAAACCCACCTGGCTCACCTGTGTGTTGGTATTGTTAAAATGGGCACTGGATTTATAAAAATGTGTTTAGTGTTCACAATTTATGAAATGTAATAGTTAAGTGTTTGTTTGCTATGAAACTAGAAACCCCCATAGTCAGGGGAGATTTACCACGTGAGGACAAAATACTGTGTTAATTTCTCCCCCCCCCCCCCACGTCCATGAAGAGGAGACGTGCATGTGGACTCATCCCATCAACTTGAATTCAGGGGAAAAGGACTAAAAATCCCTACCGAGAAGGGAACTGTCCCTCTTCGTGCTGCTCCGATTCTGAGGGGACAAAGATTTCTAAGCATAAGCGTGGACTCCCCAGCTGCTTAGCCTGGGTTAGCTTAATGGACACACAGAGCTTGCCTATTAGAGCAGCGTCTATCTCCTTTTGGAACCTAAGACTGTAACTCGCTGGTGTGTTATAAACATGCTCTAAATTTGTAAATAACCCATGTCTCTTTCTTGGTTAATAAATCTTTAATTTATTGTAGCGGTGTCTTTGGTGTGAGAGCTAAGGTGCATTTGGGGAAAGTGACTGGTCCTTTGGGACTGGGAGTAACCTGAATATTGTGATTTTTGGTGGAAGGGACCATTTATCACACAGGCAGGCTTACCTGGATGGCAAGACAGATCAGTGTACCCAGGTGACGGTCTGTGACTCCATGGTAAGGCTGTGGTCGTGCTTGAGGGGTTCACAGTGATAGCTGTTTGGCAAAATCCAAGTACAGAAGTCACAACCACTTTGGGACGTGTGCCCTGCTCCTTAGCCGTCTGCCCTGAGGTTGGGATGGACGCTCCTTAGCCACTCCAGCCAGCCCGACACATGCTGTTTGTGCTTCAGAACAACTTATTGCCACAGTTCACAAGCACACAGCCTACCCCGGCCCCAGCAGTCACCCTGCATGACCGTCAGTGATCTGATCTCAAGTCTCCCGATGTTAGATGTTTTCCTCCATATCCCAGCTCCTGGGATTGATAATCTCAGCTATAAAGGGCACCGCGATATCAGAGTGGTTACAGATGAAAGCTTGAAAACATGCCCCAGGTGGCCTGCAGAGCTCTTGCAGGAGCTGCCCTTCCTAGGCAGGGCTAGTTATTCCTGCAGACAGAGCCGGCGGGGGGGTCTGCACCAGAACCCCGCTGCACGAGCTCCGGGACACGTGCAATAGCTGCCTGTCGGCCTCTGCCTGCAGCCGGGTGGGAGAGTTTGCAGGGAGCACCAGGAAGACCCTGGGTCTGCACACACCTGGCTAGGACTGTTCAGCTGCAGGGAGGAGCCGCTCCATGCAGTTGCCCTAGCTGGGCTCTGGGATGGAGCCTTTGCAGGATCACCCAGCGCAGGGCTCACCGG